CTGGAAACTAAATTTAAAAACAAATTTAATATTTTATCTCTCGATGGAAAATCGCATTTAAAATATAACTTCCATTTTATTTTAGTATTCTCATCTGGAGAAAATATGGAGCTTTCGAAAATATTCTCGGCCATAGCGAAGGAAAGATTATTAATTGTCCATAGGTAGGTGACGTCCATGAATTTTAAATTTGTGCAATTCCAATGGCCTCGCTCGGGCGCATGCATTTTAGCGTGAGCATACGACATTTTTAGAGATTTTCTGTCGAAAATTTTATAATTTAGGACTTGAATATTTAAAAAATCTGTCCGGAAATTTCTTCTGCTAATCGTTAAACAAAAATATTAACTCTTCGATTTATAAAAAGATTTAAAACGAGAAGAGGAAAATTCATACTCACGTCAGCGCAGAAAGTTCGATTTAGATAAACGAATTATGCTGAAAATATAAAGAATAAGGGCGTAAGTTACGTCACATGTACCGTATGTTATTGTAAAGTATTGGCATTCTTTACAATAAACTAATGGCTATTTGCCAGCGGGTAAGTTCTAGGTCTACAAAGTTACTATACCTTTAATGTAATATTCCAACGGAAATACCAATGAATATATTCAATAGTTGATATATTTGAGTTTTTTCATGTGTTATTTCAAAACCTAAATAATGAAATGACGGATTTTATTTACTTATTCAAATATTACTTTTATCTATGTTAGATTTCCACACCCATTATCGGTGATAAGAAAGTCCACGGCGCCGCCATGGAGCGCAGATAATAACCAAGCTAGATAATAAAAAAATCGAACTAGAAAGATTAAACAACTTAAAATTCGAATGTAAAATGGAGGGAAAAACGAATAAAAAAAGCGAACGTGGACCTAAATAACAACTTCGAAGGGACTTCGGCTGGCCGGGAGAAGAAGTATGTTCCGATAATTCAGGGTCTGCGAAGCCAAAACTAAAGTCCTATGGCTGGAGGAGGGGCAGGGTGACGTTGATATGGTGGCCAACGAACAGCCCGGAGTCACGGGATCTCCTAAAAAAACCTTTTTTTTTTCTTTTTAGGACATTCAGTGCAAGAGTCCAAGACTGAATAGACGGCGGTCGGTACGTTTTCAAAATAATTGGACCTAGTTTTTTTTATCGTTAATTTTAATACACATAAATATTTTATTTATTTATTTTACATGAACGGTAAATCATTTTACGCTTTTCTGCTTCGATGGATGGCGCGATCGACGGATGATAGGATTCTGAATCAGTATACACACGCGAGAGATCGTAGAACTCCAACTCTAGATCACGATGAGTTTGGCCGATGCTGCTCTACGTGGTGCAATTCAAACTTTGAATGAGACCGTTGTGATCTTATCAGGTGTGTAGAGCATATCCTTAGGAGCAAAAAAGTCAAAGTAACCTTACCTCTACAAGCGACCCTTCGCGAGATACAGCTGCCCGAAATCAGGTCTAAGTTTGTATTGCGTTTTTAACTATTTACCCCACGCAATTACATAGGCTTTCAGTAGCCAGCCCACTTAACTTTTCCTGGAGTATTTGATGATATAGTTTTAGAAAGTGTGGAGGTTGCCCCTACCATGGTGCTGGATACCAGAGAACTCCGAAACTCGCGACTACACGCGGTCAATGCGAGCGATCACAAGCCTTGAGACGCAAATTTAAGACATTTCAAAAGACCATCTTTTAAAAAGCATGTCGTCCTTGATGCCGCTTTCATCTTTCTGGATTTTCTCTCATGCTACTAATTTCATTGATTCACGTTGTTGTTATATGCTTTCAAGTCAAAGCCGAGTCATATCAACCCCGTGAATAGCGGCATAAATACTTTAAAATCATTTGTTAGGTGGCATATTTTTCGCAGGCTTTTATCAGTTTCTACTAGTGATGTAACGAATATTCGGTTACTATTCGGTATTCGGCCTATTCGGCCTGTTTTTCACTATTCGGCCGAATACCGAATACCTAAAAACAGGAGTAATAAATAACAAAAACACAGTAAATTAATCATTTTGTTATTTAGATTTAATGTTATCGAGTTAGTGTTGTTTGTTTATATTTATAACTTGTAACATGCACAAAATAAAAAAGAAAATAATATTAGTCACTTGTATTCACAATTTATAATTACAAAGATCAGCACACGTACATTACACACCTATTCGTTCGAGAATCGTCGCACATCTGAGGGTCTAATCGTGCCTATCCTTCTTTTTAAGCGCTCGTCTTTGCTCTTCCCTTTCTCTTACCGCTCTAATCCATGTATGCCTGTGCATACATTATAATACGCGCTCACAATACTTTCGATTCGTCACTTTTCCGTCGTAGAGTTCCCATTTTACAATTACGTGACTCAGCCTGGTGATAACGGAGAAAAGAGACAGATAGGACGTCGGTATAAGTCACAGTTATGATTTCACAGATTCGAGACAGCTTGATAGCCCGAATGGCCCCAGGCTTTCGCCCGTGCACGCTAAGTGACTTTCATTACAAGCATTTAGCTTTCCGAAGTTTATGACAACAATTGTTTGGCATTGACGTGCGCGAATTTCGTGCCAATAAGCTGCCTCGACTTGTTCGATTATGTTATCAACTCAATTTCATATTATTTTCACATTTTCACTTCGCGGTCCTTCTCTGTTCCTTTTCCGTTATTTACAAGTGTAGGTCATTTGATATCATCATTTATCACATACTTTCATGACACTCTTGTCTGTCGGCTACAACTGCCAAGAATTAACGCGATTGGCGAAGCGTAGTNCCGAAGATTTTTAAGTGACTTTCCTCCCTCTGACGACCTTCCCGTCACCTGAATAGTCCGAATATCAAGATATCAAGACCTTGCCAAATATACCGAGTCCTTCCAGAAAATCCATCGAAACTTCCGAATCATCAATTTGACGTGTCGTCAATTAAAGTCCTCAACCCGATTGGGAACTAAGCGCATCCTCAGATCCTCTACAACAGGGGTGGCCAACCTTTTGCATACCATGCGCCAATTTTTTGACAGACGAGTTCAAATGCGCCATATAACTCGAACATTTTTTATACAGTCTTATGTTCAATGTTAGGGGTTGATAAATAGAGATAAGAATAAATCTGCTTTGCTTAGGAGAGAAAAGGGAATAACTTTATCACGCAGTTTAATTAATTAATTTATGACAGTTTATTGAAGCACCAATTTACAATAGTCAACAATAATCTCCTGTACGAGAGGGCTATTGCTTCATGAAGGTGCTATTGCTGCCAGAGTCTCGTTTGGTGAAGATTACTCTGCACCACAATTATTGGCACTGAGAGCTAGATCAGTTTGGAAAAACTTTAATCACAATAAATGTTTTCGGCCATTTACATGCCTGTAAACTGATCGGAAATAAAAATCGCAAGACTCAAAATACATGCATTCACTGTAATTTACAATGTGGAGAACACCCATTTTATCTGCAAAATAGACCGTAACGAATTGTGCAACAAATGAACTTGCTATGACAGACTGTAAAAAATTTATTTTTTTATATAATATTCTTAATCGCATAAAAGCCAAATCTGACAATTTTGCTCAGAACTAACTGAAGCGCCACTTGTAATCGTCCAATGCGACACGTTTTGGCCACCCCTGCTCTACAATGTATTTATCCGTCCGAGAATTTATGTAAACTCACGGACGAATACACAATGTACTAGCCTTGTAAAGGGATCGTTCAAATGTTCAACCTTCCAATTGTAAACAGCCTATGTTTAGCCTAATTGTAAATAGCTTATAGTTAATAAACGGATATTTGTTATTGTTAAAATTGTTTGGTGATTCTTAAGCGCCTACCGATTCTAAAACTAACGTTCTTCGACATTAAAAATTGTTAATAAAATGTTTAGAGGCTAGAATCCATATTTTAAAGTTACAAACCGCTGTGCGTTGTATCACCCTCTATCGTATCATGTATTCTTCTCTATTAATCAATGACACATGTACATAAATCAGTAAAATTACACCATGTTAATTCTACGTTGTAGAATCATTTTTTAATCAACGAAACTATTTTCTTTCGGTACATAAAAGCAATTGCTTTATAAACAATAGCAAAGTTACAAAATGAAAACAATAAAACTTCAAAAATTTCTTCTTTTTGTATTAAAAAAAATCTAAATGCGAATATTAATAAGAATAAATACTTTTGTAAACATTTTCCTTCATAACGAAGAGCGTTATTGATTGTTATTATGACATTTGATAATATGATTATTTAAATTACGTTTAAAACTGAACTTTTGTAAGCAACAAGTACATGAAAATGGCTTTTCCCCTGTATGCACTCGGAGATGCCGAATCAAATTTCCTTTGTGTGCAAAACTCCGTTTGCAATGATCACAGGTAAAGGGTTTTTCTCCGGTGTGAGTGTTGACGTGGGTACGAAGATTGCTGGATTGATTGAACCGACGATTACAGAATTTGCAAGACAAGAGTCCTTCTCCACTGTGAATCCTTCGATGACATACAAATCCTCGCTTCGAAATGAATATTTTCTTGCAACTGTCACATTGAAACTTCCCATTCTTTCTCTTCTCAAGTTTTAAACCTGTAAAATCCAATAAATAAAAATAGTAAAAACCAATGTTTAAAGACCAAAACTCTCTTCAATTTATTCTAAATCAAATATCTAAATTTAAATCACACTGTTTTAAAAGTACTGTTAATGTTTAGGATGCAGATAGAAAAAGAATTTTTGTTTCTGTGGTATTTTTCTTTGAATAAAATGTAAAAGTTAAACTTATACGAAGGAAAACATTACTCCAGAAACACTAACTATTCACAGGTATTACCCAAACACTAAAACAATATCACAAATTAATAACAAATGTAATTTATACATTTTTTTCTGAAAACAATTTATATAAAGTGTATTTTGCAAAAACAAAATATTTGAAAAATAGTTTTAAAATATCTTCGTTGATTTTTCTCTTTTTCTTCACTCGCATGAAAGATGTTTTCCTTGTTGATATATTCTTGTAACGATTTTACAACACTGGCTTCAATTTTAGTGTTCCGTTAACGACAGAAGTCCAACACATCCATCAACTATTCTTGTGCTTTCCTGGAAACTATTCTTCACTTAGTTAACAGGAATGTTTTTGATTGACGGGTAGTGAATCTGAAAGAAACAAAAAGTCCCGAATGAAATCAGATACGAGAATACCGCCACACATTACTTTCTAACTTAAATTTAAAGATTTCAATATTAAATTAGTAAATTTAGAAATTCTTCCTTTAACATTCATTTCAGGCCATAAAATTACGGCTCGGTTTAAAACCTGAAAATGGAAGTAATTCAAATTAATTTATTATATAAGTGTCTACTGGCACATATGGTATTAGTAGGACTTATTATAGTTGTGCCGGGTTCTGCGAATTGAGGATACTTATTCAGAAAAAACGATCTTTATTAGTGATGTAACGATTATTCGGTTACTATTCAGTATTCGGCCTATTTTTCACTATTCGGCCGAATCACCGAATACCTAAAAACAGGAGTAATAAATAACAAAAACACAGTAAATTAATCATTTTGGTATTTAGATTTAATGTTATCGAGTTAGTGTTGTTTGTTTATATTTATTTATAACTTGTAACATGCACAAAATAAAAAAGAAAATAATATTAGTCACATGTATTCACAATTTATAATTACAAAGATCAGCACACGTACACACCTATTAGTTCGAGAATCGTCGCACATCTGAGGAACTGGCCCTGCCTATCCTTCTTTTTAAGCGCTCGTCTTTGCTCTTCCCTTTCTCTTACCTCTATCGCTCTAATCCATGTATGCCTGTGCATACATCATAATACGCGCTCACAATACTTCGATTCTTCACTTTTCCTCGTAGAGTTCCCATTTTACAATTACGTGACTCAGCTTGGTGATAACGGAGAAAAGAGACAGATAGAACGTCGATATAAGTCACAGTTATGATTTCACAGATTCGAGACAGCTTGATAGCCCGAACGGCCCTAGGCACGTTCGGGCTATCAAGCTAAGTGACTTTCATTACAAGCATTTAGCTTTCCGAAGTCTATGACAACAATTGTTTGGCATTGACGGCTGCGAATTTCGTGCCAATAAGCTGCCTCGACTTGTTCGATTATGTTATCAACTCAATTTCATATTTATTTTCACATTTTCACTTCGCGGCCCTTCTCTGTTCTTTTTCCGTTATTTACAAGTGTAGGTCATTTGATATAATCATTTATCACATACTTCCATGACACTCTTGTCTGTCGGCTACAACTGCCAAGAATTAACGCGATTGGAGAAGCGTAGTGACAGCGGGCCAATAGAGAGCAGGATCCTTGCCATAATGCGGTTTGCGCTCCAATTTTCGTACGTACGTTAATCGAGCCGAATAGTTTGGCCGAATATTCGGTATTCGGCCTGAGGCCGAATATACTATTCGTTACAACACTAAATTCTTTATTGTTCACTTTTTCAGCTGTACACACGTTGTGTTTCGAACCTCTCGGTCCTTTGTCAGCAGGTTTACTGCCACTACTTGCTAAAAGAATCCAATAAAATGTTATATTTTCCCGACAATGATACCATTAAAATGACTTAGATTTTTAGTGGATAATTACATTTAAATTAAAAAAGATCAACATAAATTTGGTATTATATTTTCAAACAATAAACCTATATAAAACAAACATATGAACAATAAAGATTGTTTTTTCCGAATAAGTTTCAATTCGCAGAACTCGGACACCTACTAATACGATATGTCCCAGTAGATACATAATAAATTTTATGATAAAGACACAAAGGCATATGAATGAATTCAAATTACTTTTTCTTATCCAAGAACAGTATCAATGTATTTCAAATCTTTATATATAAAGTAGTTTTATCTGTGATTTTTAAAAATAAGAAAATTAGGTATAAATGTATTTTAAGAAGAATTGACTTCCCTTCGGTTTTCCTATTTTACAGCTTTCATTGCAGAACTAAGTTATACAAACTGAATCATTTCTTGAAAAGTTTTTTTAATTAAAATTACCTTAGGAAAAAAGTAAAAATCTACTTACTAATTTAATAAAGTTCAGACAAGAAGACACAGAAAATACCAGAATACTTGTTACCACAGTCCACGAGAACGAGAAGAATTCCATACATCATCAAATGTTACCTGAGAAGTCTCCTCTTCCGCTTCGTTAAAATCTTCCTTCTGTTTTTTTTCTTTCTGGTGAAATCGTTAACGAGATTTTCTCCTTTAATCAAGACTGTTAATTCTGTTAAATTTAAAATAATCTACACCCAGATTATCGATTGTCGAAATATAATGGCGAAAGTCAAAGAGTCGACAAAAGGACTAACCTGCCTGTGTGGACGAGAATTCCAAATGCTTGCATTCATTTTGTCGTACGGCTGAAATGACAACACAATCTTCACCTCTGTGTCTTCTCGGACGCAAACAATCGTGGGTTATCAACAGAGTAAGATAAAACTTCTGTCGACATTTTTTCTGTAACCAAAACAGAAATACGTCACTAGTAACGAGCGAAGATTCGTGCATTACACCTATTTATTTCCTCTTCTTTTTGGTAGCGACGAGTTACGAACCGATCCCAAGACGATGGGAAGTAAACGAACACCAAGAAAACAGCCAAATGAAACGTCTCCTTCGATTTCTTCGAAAAAGATTTAGCTCGTCGGAAAACAATTTGAATCTATTCAGTACTTTTCATAAAAACATTTTGCCCTTTCCCCAACCGAAATCTACAAGAAATCCAGCAAGTTCATTGCTGGACATCGTTCAACCTAACTGTCAATTTAAAAAAAAAGTGGCGCCATCTAATATTTAAAATTTAATAATGTCTAATTTATTTTTCAGAATTTGTGGGTCTAAAATTTCTGGAAATAATCTTTCATTCATCTTTCATCTTTTAATGTTAAAAAATGAATTATCTCGAAACTATTATAAATAATTATATTCAACTCAAATATTCACGCACCATCAAAAACGGTGGTAAAATGTGAACAATCCGAGGACAATCCACATTTGAATCCGTTGTCAATTTTAATGATTNCTATTTTACAGCTTTCATTGCAGAACTAAGTTATACAAACTGAATCATTTCTTGAAAAGTTTTTTTAATTAAAATTACCTTAGGAAAAAAGTAAAAATCTACTTACTAATTTAATAAAGTTCAGACAAGAAAACACAGAAAATACCAGAATACTTGTTACCACAGTCCACGAGAACGAGAAGAATTCCATACATCATCAAATGTTACCTGAGAAGTCTCCTCTTCCGCTTCGTTAAAATCTTCCTTCTGTTTTTTTTCTTTCTGGTGAAATCGTTAACGAGATTTTCTCCTTTAATCAAGACTGTTAATTCTGTTAAATTTAAAATAATCTACACCCAGATTATCGATTGTCGAAATATAATGGCGAAAGTCAAAGAGTCGACAAAAGGACTAACCTGCCTGTGTGGACGAGAATTCCAAATGCTTGCATTCATTTTGTCGTACGGCTGAAATGACAACACAATCTTCACCTCTGTGTCTTCTCGGACGCAAACAATCGTGGGTTATCAACAGAGTAAGATAAAACTTCTGTCGACATTTTTTCTGTAACCAAAACAGAAATACGTCACTAGTAACGAGCGAAGATTCGTGCATTACACCTATTTATTTCCACTTCTTTTTGGTAGCGACGAGTTACGAACCGATCCCAAGACGATGGGAAGTAAACGAACACCAAGAAAACAGCCAAATGAAACGTCTCCTTCGATTTCTTCGAAAAAGATTTAGCTCGTCGGAAAACAATTTGAATCTATTCAGTACTTTTCATAAAAACATTTTGCCCTTTCCCCAACCGAAATCTACAAGAAATCCAGCAAGTTCATTGCTGGACATCGTTCAACCTAACTGTCAATTTAAAAAAAAAGTGGCGCCATCTAATATTTAAAATTTAATAATGTCTAATTTATTTTTCAGAATTTGTGGGTCTAAAATTTCTGGAAATAATCTTTCATTCATCTTTCATCTTTTAATGTTAAAAAATGAATTATCTCGAAACTATTATAAATAATTATATTCAACTCAAATATTCACGCACCATCAAAAACGGTGGTAAAATGTGAACAATCCGAGGACAATCCACATTTGAATCCGTTGTCAATTTTAATGATTTTTAATTACGGAATTATTCGATTCATTCTTTTCCATTCTCAAACGGGAGGACCAATCTCTTCGAAATTCAGCAGTAATCTTCGTTAATAACACGTTATATCTGAATAATATATTATAACAACAAATAGAGCAATTTTTGCAAGCAATGCAGTAAGAGAATAAAATCGCATCTTTATTAGTTTCTACTNAAATTCAGTTTTGTCACATAACAAGCAATGAAAAATTCGGTGGTAGTGCAGCGACCTGTTTAAAATAGTTCTATTGGATATTAGTGGTGTATATGAAAAAATTACTAGTTCACCCGGACGGCGAGTCGATTCCCGGATTGTCCGGACGATAGAACTATCGTAGGAGCGATGCAAGTATAGATTAGGAAGTTTCAAATTTTTACAAGATATTATTATCATTTATTGTGAAATTTTGCCGCCCTCTAAAAGGTAATTTTGTCGCCCCCTAAAAAGTGCCGCCCGGGGCGGGCCGCCCCTGCCGCCCCCACTACGGTATGCCACTGCTCTAGAATAGATCTGGAAAGATTTATCGAAAACATCCGAAAATATTCGTGTATCTACGACAAGAAGTATCCCGATTATAATAATGGATGCCTAAATCACGCGATACGGACGGCCAAAGGAAAATCCTTCAATTTAGAGGAGTATATAATGAAAAAAGCTAAGCTTATTAAGTGCTGTATATTATATTAATAATACGATAATAAAAGTTAATACTGTATATGAAAGTAAAGATATTATTTTTACTACATTTGTAATTATAATACAGAAAAAACTTGTAGAATATAATCATTGTCTTTATAACTTCGATAGTACCGTCGCCGTAAAAACTTCGCTAGCCAGACCTCCACCGCAATCCAGAGGCAAACGCAAATAGGTCACGTAATTAAAAGTTTTTACGGCGAAGGTTTTTACGCTAGTGGAATCTTGGCTTAAGAAGGGATTTTTCTCCCTTCTTAACACTCCCCCCTCGGGGAAGTGTTAACAATGGAAGTGTTAAGAGAAAGCGACGTGCAAGTTTACAGGCGCAGATGCGGTATTTTGCGTTTTTTCAGGAAATCGAACATATTTTTAAACCCATCTAAAAATTTTCTAATTAGTCTGGAAACAGGGAGACCTAATTCTTGCATTCTGTGAAAACGGATAAGATTGGCTATAATATAATAATCTTAATCTTCTCTATCGTTACTTTTTGCCCGAGCAACGCCGGACTTATTTGCTAGTAGAATATACGGTGAATGCCAAGGAACAGAGCAAACATCCACGTATTCTGAAAAAAAAAAAAGTGAATATTACGAGAGTTGTTAAATATATATGTTGTAAAACTGCATTCACAAATAAATATGCATAATACCAAAAGCTTGTTGCCCAAGAATACCAAAATAGATAATCGTTGCACAAAAGTCCTTCCTTCCTTCCTTACTTTCTTTTCAGATGTTGTTTATATGGAGATTTTAGCTCTATAGGCTCTTTCTCCGACTAGACATGCAGGGGCGGACTGGCCCTAAAATTTTTGTGTGGAAAATTTATTACCAGCCCAGCCCACAAATAAAAAAAATGTATATTTTTCTATTTATATTTAAATACATTCAAAATACAACATTGACAAAAATTACAATAATCGCAAGTCTCTATTCTACAATATTAATTTTTTATTTAGAAGTTTGCTTTGTTGAGCAATAATATTAATGACATCCTTCTCTACTGAAAATCCTTCTCTACTGACATTAACACGAAGGCTTCTAGATTTTCTTGCGAGATATTTATAAGTATCTTAGCCTGCTTTTAATTAATTTTAACATAGAAAAGCTTTGTTCACCGGACACTTGTGTTACAGACATAGATAGCAGATATTTGTATGCTTGACCAAGTATAGAATAAGCGCCACTTAACATGTTATATCTGAATAATATATTATAACAACAAATAGAGCAATTTTTGCAAGCAATGCAGTAAGAGGATAAAATCGCATCTTTATTAGTTTCTACTTGATCATCAGTAGAATGTTCATTTTCGTTTAATTTTATAAAAGTTTCATTGACATTTTCCTTTAAAATATTCCATGACGATTTAAAATGTTGCAATTCTGAAATAATATTGTGTTGAGTAGCTACTGGATTAAACTGTATTAAAATACTGCTTAATTTTTGAAATGCGTTTTCAGGAATATTTAGTGACGGTCCCGTAAATTTTGGTCTAATGTGCTTTGAACTCGCTGTAAGATGACAGTCGAACTCTCCCCGGTTGCTCTCTCTCCCACTTTCCCTGATCTAGATCGAAGACGTGTGAATTTGGTCCGGGAATGCGACAATTAAATCGTCTTACACTCGTTCTTGTTTACGAAATAAATCACCGATTTATTAGCTTTAGCTCGACAACCAGTTTCCTATTGGAGAGGGGGTGAGGTCCCGGCCTCACACTACAAAATATATTATTTTTAATTAAATCGTTTGGAATATAGAGAAATTATTATTGAATAACATTTTTTACTTACCTAAAATAAAGGAAATAATAAAGTGGCCACTAAATTTGTTATGACTACAATCATCGCTTTGGTGGCTAGGTACAAAACTAATAACTCGCATTTCTATAGTTTAGCATTAAAATTCATAGGAGTGGTGAATAGTTTCTAGCAATGTAAACAAATGACCAATTTTCTCTGTTTAGAAGGTAGTTTTGATTATTTTTCTCTTAGGATGCTTTCTGTTTGGGCTAATGTAGTGGTGTTTGACTCAGATCGGCCGAACTAATTTAACTTCGGATACGGGTAGGGCCGGGTAAAATGATACAGGCCTACACATATACCTATATTATACACCTTACTTAAAAAAATATATGAATTTTTTAAAATTAAACTTAACCAAACGGTACATTATGTACATATTTAGAAAAACGGCCCAAATTGTATACGGCCCATGTGGAATTTTCCACATTTTCCACATGGCCAGTGCGCCCCTGTAGACATGTGTTTATGATCGCTATGCGACCGATGAGCCAGCCGTATCCGAACGGCCTATACGCGCGCGCGGGAAATAATGCCTTCCATGATTCAAATGATTTTAAATCAACGATTAACTATGACTGTTCTCCAGCATGGATTAAGGAAACAACTCGTACGCATTTCATATGAATTCGAGCTCATTTTTCGTTAACATCTACATTCAAGCGAGAGATTTTTAATGTCTTAATAGTTCTTATTAAATATATGACTTGTGTAAATTTATTGTTTGTGACGATTACATAAAAATATTTACTATAATAAATTTATGTCTAAGTGTTATGTGAAACTCTAATGAAAAGTTAATTGCATGTGCTTTACCGTAATTGAAGTTACCGATAAATCAAATATGCCTCTGAAGCTTTTAATTAAAGTCGCTGTGCATTCTTCATTTAGTTTATGCACGTATCGCAAATCTTCGTGTTGAAATTTTAATTCTGACCACTTTTCTGCAATAGAAACCGTTTATACGCGGATAAGCCACTAGAATTCTTCATCCAACTATCATCTAGATTTCAAGTTTCAACTGGATGTCTACGTATTTAACTTAATGGTAGCAATATCAGCTAACAATTCTAAGCATTTTTACGTTCAATATGTTAAAAATAATGTTATTATTCAAAATAACAAAAAAAACATAATCCAG